GTTTCACTTTTTCTAGTTGACTCCCAGAGCAAACTCCAGGACTCAAACCAAAGCCCTACAGACAAAAGTTGCTGCTGGTGGAGGCTGCTGAGACTGTCAGGGCAATCCCAGCACGGTGGCCATTGGCCACCAGCTCTCACAGCACTTGCTGTTTTCCATAAGCCTTTTGTATTTCTACAAGCTCCATGCTAGAAAAACTGGAGTTGAATGGTAACGATTTGAACCCAGGAAAAGAAATAAAGAGCTATTTGTGTTAATTATTTGAATTATCCTGATTTTCAGGGTCATATAAAACTTTTTGGATGAGATTCAGAATTTCTGAATGCTTGCTTTGGCAATGCTGCTGAACATCACATTAAAACATAAAAACAGTGTGCATCAGTTGTGATTTCTCCTAATCTCCACTGCCCCCTGGAAAGTAATTTAATGTGAGGAGGCTATTGCTTCCTCCCATTTTGATTTAAGGTGGTGTTATGTTTTGCTCTATCATGTATTGCAGGTGACATGTCAAGTAAAAGATCTTACTGGCCAAGCAGAAGACAGCTAGATGTCCCTCCTACTGTCAGACTCTAAGCCTCTGTGTACTGTGCACCAGACTGGGGCTGCTCTGTGTCCCACTGCACTTGGTCCTTTACAACTTGTGAGTTGCCACAGGAACTTGTAATTCACATGCATAAGGTGGAGTCTGTAATTTACACTTGGCCAAGTATGACCTCCCAGTGTCAAGCTGTCACTGTAGTTCAGAGGGGAAATGTGCCTACCATGTTATTACAGTTTGAAATGACCTTTAGGAGTAAACCTTCATTCAGTTGTAATGCATAGGAGAGGAAGGAAATCTCAAAACAAAGACACAATATCCAATAGTTTTCAGTAACAAAAAGCAATTGTCCCTTGGCCCAGAGAGAAGTTAATCCAGTGATTACTAATGACTTTTTCCCTCATAATAATGTGTAGGAGAAAGCGAAGAACAGTATGTCAATGACTAAATAGCAATATTGAATCACTGTGTTGGAGAAGCTGTGGGTTTAACCATCTTCTGTTCTTTACCACATTTTTCTTCACTTCATTGAGACAAATAGAGTATAGGAAGCCTGAATCCTGACTCTCATTGCAGTTCATAGTGACAATAAAAGAGACAATGTGACTCTCTCCCAGCAAGCTACCTGTTGCTGTCCCCTGCTAAGGGGTCTGCCTGGAAGGGGGAGTATAGCTGCAGGATGGCTGCTATTCTATACTTCACAGCATGCATGAAGAATATCCTTATGGATAGTAGCTTATATCCTGAGAGGCACAACCAAGATTACTATCCAGATTTGACTGTCACAAGGTCAAATGACAACACTGAGTTGTGCTTTGTGTTTCATGAATATGCGACTTTTGCTTATACCACAAGTAGAAAGGTTGACTAGAAGCGAGAGTTATGCATCTGTCCTGCATTAAGGATTTCTAATGTAGCTTTGCATTTCTGAAATTACCAGACAGATCCCCAGAGCATTTAAATTCACTTTACAGAAGCTGCTCAGAAGTTACACTACTTGATAGATGTTGGCTATCACATTAATGATGTCTTCCGAAAATTAAGCAGCAAGGTAAGAAAATGTACCTCTGAATTTCAGGATCCCACATGCTCAACCACAGAGAGTTAAAGGAGTATGTACCATTAGGACAGTGAGCAGCAAGAATGGCTTCTGCTGTGCCCAAACAGTCTCTCTGTGGGCATCTGTACTTCCAAGATCTCTGTTGCTGCATGTGGATATGTCCAGGAATTCCCCAAAATGCTGCATATGAATTCTGCAGACACAGCCCACAGACTCACACCAGTCTAAGCACACCATCAAAAGTGATCAGAAATGCTTCATTTTAAATTTACCAGGTAAAGAGCCAGCATTTGTGAAGGCGTGAACTTACTGTTCTTAACTGATTAAAAGACCTCTTCCTAGATGTACAGGGAAGATAAAAGCCTTTTTTTATTATTTTATAAAGATTGAAAAGAGGAAAGCACAGTCATTTTACACAAAAGCTAAAAAATTAATAACAAAGGAAACCAGACTTCCTTTGGAGGAGATACGCTTCACTTAATACTAAACAGCATATCATGAAATCAATTAAAATAATTTCAGCATGTCATGAATTATTCATTGCTTGGTTATTTTCATAGGTCTCCTTAGAGCTTTCACAGTGACTCTACTCTTGCTGCTAGATGTAGACAAAATATCCAGTTGCTTATGGCAACAAATTGGAAGAAAGGAAGAAAAAAAGGCACATAAATTACTTCAGATGTAGCTCTGCCTACCTGCTCCCACTACTGTCAGCCACCAAAGAACAGACCAGTGTCTAGCAGACCCACCACACCACCATAAATCGCAGCTTTCTGGATCTTTCCCCATTCTACTTCTCCTTCCAAATTCTGTCTCTCCTCTGCTTTCCATAACAGAATGTGATTGTGGGTCAGTCATGGCTAAACAAAATTAACCTGTGCCTGTAATTCTGAGAGGCTTTGAGCCACCTCCAATGCATGAGGTGACTGTAAGTATATGAGTATAGGCCCAGATCCACAAATGGACTTTGCTGGTGCTATGTTTCACTTTTTCTAGTTGACTCCCAGAGCAAACTCCAGGACTCAAAACAAAGCCCTACAAACACTCAAATACTTTGGGCATCTCAGTGACAACATGAGCTCAAAAGAACCCTGAGCTACTGAGGGAGGAGCCATCTAAGCTTGGTGGTAAAAAATTCTGGGGATTGGGAAACCTAAACTCCCAGGGCTGAACATATTTTTCACATCTCACCTGCTGTATGAACCATCAAGTGAGATTGTGCACCATATGGTCAGGGTTGTACCTTCCTTCCCTCTGCTCTTCTGCAACTGAATGAAGCCAGCCAGGCACAGACACTGTTTCTCTCAAGCAGCCAGGCATAATCCAGACTTGTTTACCTGCCTAGTGACAAGTATTAATTACATCCCTGTGAGCTAGTGACATATAATCCAGCATTCAGGCTATTGGCATCGTCTGATTTTGTCCATGTGTTTCATGTATTAAACACTGCAGAAGAAAATTTCACGCAGTTTTAGGATGGCTCCTACCTTTGCACATCACTTTGAAATATTTGTGACATTTATAAATTAAAGTGGATTTTGATTGCAAGTAATAATAATAAACAACTTGGTGTGACCATTTTTTAATCTTGGAAAAATTGGAAACAAAATTGGAAACAAAACCAATCTCATTTGAAAATTAGCTAATAGTGTAGTGTTTTCCCTATTTGCTAATTCACATGAAAAAAAAGTTATGAGCAAACAAATATATTTAGATTTTGTTTCATACAGGTGCCTACTAGTACTACCTCACAATGGTTTTTTTAATTGGCTGCTCTTTATGGTGAAAGCTTAAATCTCATTCTAAATGAGAGGCAAGGGTAAGAAAATACAGATTGAAAATAAACAGAACAAATGCACCAAAACAATTCTCTGTTGTTAACTGTTACAGTTAACAGTAGGATAGGTAGAAATGGTTAGGGAATGAAATGAGCTTGTGATCCCATATGTTGCACACTTGTATTCATGTGAGATCACATCTCTGATCTTTATGGTTTGTCTCACCCACTTTACCTCTTTTTAGCCTCCTGCTGCATACCACACTTGGTGAGCTGCAGCCTCGCCCGTCTCCCACAGCCCACTTGCTGATGGCCTGTACTGGCTGCAGCATCCAAACTGGGGAACAAGCACTCTCAAAACATCCCACTCTTTCTGCTACACTCTCATTCAACTTTTTTTTGTGTGTAATTCCATTTTAAAATGCAGATCATACCACAGCTCTTCTATTTTACATCTTACCATTGCACAGAATCATTCACTTCTCCATGCTGGTGCTTGCATTGGCAAGGGCTGTGGGTTATACAGCATTGAAAAGGGTTAGACATTGACACACACAGTGAAAACATACCGTGGCATTAAAAAATATGTATGATAAATACAAAACCTCATGCTTAAGCGTATAAGTGATAAGGATAGAAAAACTTCCATCCTGTTATTATCGCTAGTGGAGATTTCTTCCCCAGTTTTCTGAAGCATCTGTTTTTGATAATTGTTGGAAGCAGGATACAAGTCTTAGATAACACACAGGTCCAATGTGGCTCCAGTGCTGCAATTCCTCAGTTCTTAGGGTCTCTAGCCCCAAAAGGTAAAAAACCAATAAAAATAAATCATGCTTTACCATAAAAGATATTTAATAATCAGAACTGACACAAGTAATTACAACTGTATACA